AAGAATTAGAAGTCAGCCTGTGACGACTTAGTGAGTGATAGAAGATTAGTCACAGTGATATTTTTAATTCCGTTACCAAGATACGACTAGTAAAGACAGATTCCTAATGTGTGTGTAACGGTGAACTGTAAATTGTGTAAATTAGCGAAAGCCCTGTGGTGCTTATAAGTACGAGTTGATTGTATATAAGGCGTTAATAAATTCAGTCATCCAATCCAAGCCCCGTCTATAGTCACTAATACACGTGACAATATATTGATGTGGATATGTGACGTGTCATATGTTATATAAAAGAGACGGGTTACGATTCACTGTTTATGCGTCTTATTGGTGGGAGGTGGTGTTAAACGTCCTCGATGTATCATTCGATAACATGCAGGATTAGGAAAAAATAGGGGAGAAAGTAGGGGGTAGTTACTGCACGAGAGCTGAAACACACGCCCCACACCGCAGAAGACGGTGATCTTCATGGAAAACAAACTTCAAGGCAAGGCATCTGCTACGTCATTCAAAGGCAGGAGCGTCAGAATATGCTCTCGGCAAGTGACGCATTTCCTATTCATTGCTGTAGAATGCGCTGGCGCTGCGAGTGACTCAACCAAGCAAACCAAGGGCCTAATCAAAAGGCGACTGAAAAACACGCCGCTTTTGCGACCGGTTAAGAAATCTCTCAAAGCAAATTACCGTTCTTAAGGAGTAAAACACAGCCAACCTAAGATGGAGTCGCAGTTTGTGTCCACGACTTGTGGCTGCCCTGAGGGCGAATTCTCGGGCAAGGGACGACGCGTTGAAAGAGGGGGTAAGGTGAGTCGTAAAATGTGCGTTTGTGCTTACGTTGGCAATTTGATCAGCAGGGGCGGCTGTTGGGCTGCAGAATTAGCCATGGGGATGGAAGATTCAACAGTGAGACGTTATATCTACTGGAGAGAATGAATTGCCACTACATCCGAACAGATAGGCTCACTCAATGTATCCGCTTCCTACTGGAGGGCGTATTGTTATGGCTGTCTCGCAAAGTGCGATACTCCGAAGGCCGGAATGTAGATGAGATTTCATTTCCACACTTCAGTACTACAGGGTGATTCACTTGGAGGAGTCCCCGAATTAATAGTTGTAAATCACAGAATATTTTACCCGATGAAAACGAAACATGGAAAATTGAGGTTCTCACAGCGGTGGTTATAAACATAAGGCCGTATAGTCAATTGAAAATCAGCCGACGTTACGGAAGAACTGGTATCCATCTTTAGGCTCGAAGAGTAAGCAAGCTCTGATTGTCACCTTTCCCGATAGTGTCTTGCTTGGTTTATTCCACCCTGAAGATAGAGGCGAATAGTTCCTCCGAACATGGAACATTTTTTCGGACTGGCTATCCAGGAAAATAAATTTCAGCTCCTCTGTAGTCCAGTTATCTCCACATGTACCAAGTTTCGTTGTCACCCATAAATTATTGCCTGATTTATAATTGTTAATTCGGGGCCTCCAAGTGACTCACCCTGTATAATACCAGCAGGAAGACAGATGTAGATCTGTGTCTAACAAGAAAGAAGCTTGTCATCATGGCTTATGTTTGCTGCTTTGTCAATACCTAGACTATTCTCGTATATCGTCAAATGCTAGGATAGACGAGTGATGAATAGGACAGATGTCGGCAGGAAGTGGTCGTGGTCTAATGGACTTACTGTCCCAGTATTTACTTCTGCCAAATACGGATCTAAAGCATTACCACTACTGCAACCCGTTTGGTCCATCGTTAGATGTAAGAGATGGGAAGGTTCATACTTGGTCCGTTAGAGAGCTTTAGTCTCGGTGTCCAAGTCTACTTTCTGAAACGTGGTGTAGGTCAGTGTACCTCATGGTAAAAAAGTAAAGCTGTCCCTGTGACAGGCCTCGAAGATCCGTGGGGTTGTGAGACGTCGAGGATCCCACATTTTCTAGACAATCTGCTCACAGATTGTGGTGAGGTCAGCCTTACGCGCCAGCCGGCCGTTCTTCACCCCTAAGGATTATTCGCGGTGCTCATTTCTGTTAGAGGCTCAGTCGACCCCAGGACCGTAGTGCAGCTGAAATTCGTATAGAATGCCATTGCCTCTACAATAAAAGTTTGGTATCTTCATCGTGTGGAGGGTTGTTATAGCCTGTGTTAACGAACACGAAGTGCG